ATCTATTCATATTTCTCATATTACGTGCCCTTGGTAATTTTTCATCTTCTATATGAAAAAAAAACTTCATATGTTATATTAAGAGTCACAATGCATTGTTTTAGTAACTTTAATATGTATCCATACTCGGGTCATTAAAGAAAATCACTTAAACTTTGATTTAAACCAGGGGTGTCCAACCTATTGAGTTTCCTGGGCCACATTGGAAGAAGAGGAATTGTCTTGGGCCACACATAATATACACTAATAATAAGTATAACTGATGAGCAAAAAAAGTTGGGCAGATCACAAGTTAATGCTCAATGATATAGATAATGTACCTGAGTAATAAAAATTAAATTTTTTTACATTTTTTTTGTATTTGAAAAGTAAAAGAGGGCAACATAAAACGAGAGCAATATTTGACAGTTGTTTTGATAAACTGACACATCAATATCTGGTTCAATGGATGTAGTAACAATTCTCAATGAATTCTCAATATGCTCATCAGATATTTTGGTTCTAATCTGGACAACATGAATAAGGCATGATTGTGAACAGTGAAAATGTTTTCATTGATAAGATAAAACTTATAAAAGTCCAGACACTGTCAAATTTTTCTGTGGCTGCATTTTCGCAAAAATATTAAAAAAAAAAAACAATATTTTTAAGTAACTTTATGGTTTGTGTTGGGCCACAGCCATAGCTGTGTTGCGCAGCATGTGGAACATGGGCTTCAGGTTGGAAACCCCTGATCTAAACCCTAACTACATGACATTTATTTTGTAATAAACTATGTCAACAAATGCCAATTTTATCATAAAATACTGTTTTCTAACTTTTTACATTTTTTTTTGCCTCTCAGTGCTGCTGATTTCCTCCAGCCACCTTCATTCACTTTCTGTCAGCATAGACTTACTCCACTGTCAGCTGCTCATCATTGCTCTAGACCAGTTTTTCTGATATAAATCGAAACAGGCTGTGTTGGAAAACCACTTTTAAGCTGTTTTATTTCATGCACAGTTACACAAGCAGTGTAGATGGAGGAATCTCCCCACCAGGACATTGTATTCTGACTGAACTCCTCCTCCCCAGCTGTCAGAATACACTGGTCAGCAGCTGCAGCTGATTGGCTGTAGCCACTTATTGGCAGAAGTCGATTAAACCATTGACTTCTGTCAAGTGGGAGAGTCCACACACTGAACGGAATTCATCTGGTACCTGTAGGGACTTGCCAACTGAGAGACAGTTGTCACACCATAACAAGTACCTGAACACGTTTCAAAATTATATTTACATGTTAAAGCTTGCATGAGATTGTAGTGATTGGGTTTAGATCTACTATAATAAAATTGTTATATTTCTCACACAGAGAGTTTTTTTTAATTCTACTACTGTTGAATTATTGAATGATTAAAGCTGAACTTTGGTCAACTTATAAAAAATAACATTTTCATATTCTAAGGGTCTAACTCTTGTTTCTCTAGTTGTTGGTATAGCTAGTTGGGTTTGTATGACACAGAGAGGAATTCTTATCTTATTCCTTACTCCCACAGGCTTCATCCCTGATTGTTCCATTTTTTCATGACTAATCACACAAAGCCACTCCTCTTCTTTGGTTATGCCACCACTCTCTTAGCAATATTATTACGTACAATGTGATAAAGTGATCCTGCAATGTACAGGGGGATATTGAGGGCTCAACCACTTTCCTGGGCTGAATTGGGAGCATAGACTGTTGGCAAGGCTGTTGGCAGATGGAAATAGTGAGGAATATGGTAAGTTTTTATCTCTGTTATATGCACTTAGACTAAACAAGCTTTAGACCCTTAGCACACTTGGGGGAAGCACTAAAATTTTATTTTTATAGGCTGACCAGAGTTCAGTTTTGGAGGAGACATTTGTATCCCTTAACTAGTTACCTAAAATGAGAAGGTTGAAATTTGAAGGTCATTTTTACAAAAAAACACCTTCTAACAGGAAGCTACTTTTAGGCAGGTATTTACTTTTTGTTTTAGCCTTTTCTTGAAAAAATCTTCTATTTATAGCCTTCCAGTGTTGGGGTTATTAGTATTTATACTTAGAACACTGAGCTACTTGTCTTAAAGCAGAACGCCAGACAAATCTTATTTTTTTATTGGTGCTTGGTGGGAAATTGTGCTCATTGTTTTCTATTTTTTTCTTCTCTCCACTGTGCTCCCCTGAATTTTAACTGAAGGGCATTGCTGCAGACACACCTCCTGTCTTAGGACACCCATTCTCCAAACAAGTGTTATAAATATGCCTCCTGGGCTACAGAGGGTATCAGCCACTGCTATTGTTGTGCCACAACTTCCACAGAACCAATTATCTCAGTAAGAATGACCCCCCTCCTTGTGCACACTGAATCATGGGACTCAGGAATTCAGAACTTTGATAAATTGCCACATAGTAGTGTCTGTGTAGTGTAAAATGGACTGCAAACATTTATAACAACATCTAGTTTACATGGATAAGACATTGTTGCCTGTGCGCAAGGCAGTGTGCACTGTATGCAGTCATGTTGCTTGTATATGTAAATGCCATGTTATTTCTCAGTGAGTGCAACCCCATTCACAAAGTCCTGGGCCTGTTCTATTGTTCCAGTCCAAAGAATGAAAACGTTGTCTATGTAATTCCCCCTACACAAATAGCCAGGATTCCCAATCCCCCCAAATAGATGTTAGCATATGCTGGGGCACATTTGGTGAGCATGGCTGTGCCGTGGGTCTGGCAAAATGTCTTGCCACCAAACAAACTTATTATGGGTTAAACGAAATTCCAACAGGTCAACAATAAATGGGTTATATTTTGTGTTTGTCTACTGCCCTGCTACTTAACATTTTCTTGATGACCTGAAGTCCCTTGGAATGTGGAATTGAAGAATAGAGAGCTTCGATGTCAAGAGTAAGAAGATTTCTCTGTCAAGGACCCCATCCCAGAAATCATAGGGCGGCCTGGAGGATCGTCAATTGATTTGTGGATTTTTGGGAGGGTATAAAACACTGGAATTCGAGGGTGCATAACCCTCAAGAATTCCACTGTTTCCTAAAAAAATAATATGTTCATGAAAAGCCTGGTCTATAATGGAAATTAAACATGCTTTCTCCCTTTCCAAATTTATACCAGGAATAGGAGTGTACCAATCCTTCGTACTTAAAATGTACCTACACATTTTCATATATTTGATCCTATCCATGATTACAATATTTCCTCCTTTGTCCACCATTGTGATCAACAAATCAGGGTTCAAACGTAGTTCCTGTAACGCATCGCTTTCCATGGAGGTCAAGTTATCATTAGAGACACCTCTCCATCTTAGATTTCTCAATTCCTTTGTAATTGCCTTAAAGCAAGAAACTCCAGGAACAGCGTACAAAGGGAGAGATACCCTGGATCTTTTAAAGAGGTTAGTATCCTTTAAAGTTACAGTGTTGGTTTGTTGTTCCTGTATTTCAAGTACTTCTCCACTCCGCTCTAATGTTAAATTCAACATCATTTTGGAGAATTCCTCTTCAGCTAAATCATCCAGGTTAGTAATCTGTCCTTCTTCCCAGAGGCTCACCAAATCCCGTAGGGCTCTATATTCACGTCGACTCAGATGCATCCAATGCCCTAGAAGACCTAAGGCGAAAGCTTGAGATTTGCATTTGTGTAACACATATAAGACCAATCTACAGGCAAAGAAATAAATGTCCTTGACTACCTTGAAGATATTACCTCTCAAGGTGGGACAAAAACTGAGCCCCCTGAGGAGGGAAAGTTTGGCATCAGGGAGTTTCACCTTAGAAAAGTTAACTCTTATATTTTCTTGTTCTCTGGTGGTATCATACACTGATTTATCCCATATTTTTTGGGAAGAGGTGTAAATATTGTTTGAGCGATCACCCTTTGAGGCAATGTTTGCATCACCATTCCTAGTGTGTTTATAACCAGTTGACTGATGATTGAAGTTTGATCCAGAACTCCCCGATGTCCTGCTTCTAAAAGGTCCTCCCCCTTCTGCACCTTTTGGACCTCCCTTGTTTTTTTGACTGTGGCAAATGTTGTAATTGTCTCTTCTCCAAACCACCCCCTTCGTTAGAACCACTAGTTTCATTCTCCTCTAATGATACATTTTTCCTTTTGATCGAGTCTCCTCTACCTAGTCCCCTACTGCCTCTAAATCCCCTCCTTGGAATATGCTGTTTGTGATTTAGATAAACTACTTTCCTCTTTTGTTGTATAATCCCATACCTGGGCTTGGGCTCTACAGTGATGTTGTGTCTTGTTCCATCTGTAAGCATTGTCAGTGGCATATGCTTGTCTGTCCCTATGCAGTTTTTTGTCTTTAGATTTTACAATGTCTTTATTCAGTTTTTCCACTAACATACATATGTCTTTCTTCTTCTGAATAACAGCTGAGTTTTGTTTGAAAGGCCTTAACCACTTCAAGTCTGGACACTTTTACCCCCTTCCTGTCCAGGCCAATTTTCAGCTTTCAGTGCTATCACACTTTGAATGACAATTGCGTGGTCATGCAACACTGTACCCATATGAATTTTTTAGCATTTTTTGAGACAGATAAACCTTTATTTTGTTGGTATTTATTCACCACTGGGATTTTTTTTTTTTTTTTGCTCTATAAATGAAAAAGTCCAAACATTTTTTTTAAAAAAAAAAGTGTTTTTCTTATAAAATTTTGCAAATAAATAATCTTTCTTCATAAATCTTGGCCAAAATGTATTCAGTTATCTTTTTAGTAAAACAAATAACCCAAATTAGTTTATAACCAAAAATTATAATTTTTCTAATTTTTCTTTACATTTTTCTTTTCTTTTTTTTATATATATATATATATATATATATATATATATATATATATGTATATGTATGTATATATATATACACACTGTATATATATATATTTTTTTTTTTTTAAACTTACTGTCACCCTAGCAGTACAGTGTCACCATAGTGACACTGTAATACTTGCGGGCGGTGATGAAGATTTTATTTATTTTTGTTTTACACTGATTGCTTTTACACCCATAAAGGCTGTAAAAGCAATAATTCTCCTTCTCTCTGGCTGCATTCTTCATTGGTCACAGCTTGTCACATGGTACAAGATAAAAAGAAAAAGCGCCACACTCTTTTTAAATAATAAACTATGTACCGCCCCTTGATGACGTCGAGGTGACGAAACGCGTTGGAGGTGGCCTACTCGATATTGACGTCAGGATGTTCTTTTCCCAGTGTTTGTCGGAGGTGATCCGCGGTGAGCGGGGATCGTTCATCACCTCATTGCTGTTTAAGCTGGTGTCTGTCTGGACACCTTTTTTGTGAGTTGCTTGAGCTTTTATTAAATTTTCAAATGTTTTAAACGTACTGCACCATCGTGCTTTTTCCCCTTTGTCCCCGAGTGTGATTCATACATATATGGAGGTATGGAATTAAATGGAGAGATTCATCATGAGATCCTTGGCTGCAGAGTATTGCTCTTGGTAGTGATACGTTATCCCTCATACTGATTCACCATTATGCCAGTAGTTGCTGTGGAAACCATCCAGGTGCTCTTTTGATTACCTGGACATGATTAAGAATTACCACATCTAATATCTGGACATCGTTCATTCACCGCTCCCAGAGCAGAAGCGTTATTTGCTGGTCTATAAAATTTGATCAGCATATAGAACTCTGGTGAGTTTATTTAATTCATTTGGTGGTGGATTATTCACATTGTTATGAAGTCACAGAGAATATTTTGAGTTTGTTTTGGACACTAGTTTATTTTTGACACTTAATATATGGTGATATATATATATATTTATTTAGCGCATACTCTTATGAGATTTTTGTTCACATGGTACAAGGCTGCATTCATTTTGTGAATAGCCTTGTACCATGTGATCTCTGTGATCATTCACAGATATCACACGTAGTAAGCAATGATGTCAGAAGTGACATCTTGCTTACTACTATTCATGTGATTACTGATTGGCCAATCAGTGATCACATGATCGGGACCTCACACAGAGGTCCTGTACAATGATGTCCTGTACAATGATCGGTGTTCCTCTGTGTTGCGGTGCTGTGCGCTCTCCCGGGGAGCGTGCACAAGAAGGGAAACAGGGAGGACATTTATAAATGGCCACCTGCCCCTGCACTGCTCCCATCTGTCCATTTTATATACATGGGCTGGATGGGAAGTGGTTAAAGAGTCCAGTGTCTCCTTAAGATCTTTATCAATATCCATTATTTGTTCATAGAAATCTTGCAATAATCGCACCGCATTATGGGAGCACTGATGAGATTCTCCTCCCATTTTTTCTTAAAATCTGCAGTAATTTCTCTAATCTTAGGGAATGTCTGCTCCCTTAGACCTCTTGGGTAAACCTGTTCCTTCAAATATTTCCTAAAATAGGAAATATTCCACCAGACACTCGATTTTCTTTCATTGAGATCTTTCAATTTAAAATATGTTTATGATTTAATATATGTATTTATAACATAAACCGCCGCTAATCCTGGTTGAGTCCATAACTAGTCATTTTTAGTTTGGTTTACTACAGTGTATGATAGCAAAGGACACACCTGAGCAATGTTTCTCCAGTGAAAAAAATATGTTCTGACATAATTTTGTACCTGTGGATCAAACTAGCATCAGATATCACCCCTATATTTTTCAATTTAGATTGTATAAAAGTATAGAAGGGTAATTAAGACTAGAGTCTTATGCTGTACATGATGATATGAAAGGAAAAAAGATGTAACAAAGCAGCATCAGATTTACTACCTTGCACGCTTTATATTTAAGAGAAACTTTGTACATCTGTGAACTTCAGCATGCACTGATCCTGCTCGGTCATTTTATCTGGCCTACCACTTCATAGCTGAGTTGCTGCTGTTTCCAGTTGCTTCCACTATGTTATAATACCACTAACAGTTGAAGGTGGAATATTTAGCAAGGGAATTTCACGGATGGACTTATTGCACAGGTGGCAACCTATCACGGTACCACACTGAGCTCCTGAGAGCGACCCATTCTTTCATAAATTTTTGTAGTAGCAGTCTGCATGCCTAGGTGCTTGATTTTATATGCCTATGGCCATGGATGTGATTAGAACACCTGAATCCAATGATTTGGAGGGGTGTACCAATATTTTTGGCAATATAGGGTAAATAAATACATAAATTGGAAGGTTAAGATGCATCAGACTGAAATTTTGGAATATTTGAGGACCCATGGATGTGATTTGTTTTTATTCTATTTTATTTAGTCACCTCTAATAAACAAATGGATAAATTAAAATATGTCAGAACCATCTAACACATATTTAGAAAATATAAATGTGTCATTATAGCGAGATTTTTTGTTCTCTTTGTGTACTGTTAAAACCAAAAGAAAAAAAGTATTTTTAATTTTTGAACCAGTATTCAGGTTAAGCTTCAAGACAGATGTGGCACAATATGACACAGGTCAAGATGCATTGAATTCCACAGTTAAAAAGAAGCTTTATAAAAATTGCTGAGGTAAGAAGAGACATGGAGAGCAGATGGCACAGATACCAGAGTCTTTGAACAAAAGTCACAAACTATTCTTGCAATGCATTACAAAGAACAATAGAACAAAATGAATACATATTCTCAAAAAATGCAGATGATTAACCAGGGCAGGTGAAAACATTGGAATTGTAGCCTTTGATATATAACATGTTATAAAACTATATTGCAGAGTTTTAATGAGTCTTTACTATTTTGATTCGTCAGCAAAAATGACTCCATTGCGATCAATTCCATTCACTGGGCAACTAAAGTGTTTTTTGTAGCCAAAACCTTTCTTTTTAGTTTTGAATGAAGTGGTGAGAGGTTGAAACCCCTTTCAGTTCATTTTTGTGCTGTCATTGTCCCATTGGGAAGATTTTCCCTTACTACCTTTTCCCAGAGATATAACAGTAAACAAGTGGATATCTCTAAAAAGGGACAGGGAATCCCCTCTCAGACAGTTGTCACCAATACAAGTTTCCAATGTTCTGGTGGCAAATGTAAATTTGTGGATTTTCAATTATTGTCTTAGTGGTCACTGGGCCAAAAAGAGAGTATATTAACAGAAAGCACTCTACATTTGACAGAGTTTCTAATCCTTCTATATCCTATTCAAAATGTAAAAATGTTTTGGCTGTGCACACACTTGAATTAATGGGATGGAAAATAACTGAATCCAATAATAGTCCCTTTGGAACACTATTACAAATCTTGTCTCATTTGGAATATGCAAACTAAACAATTTTACAAATAAAACTAACGTATCCAAACCCAAGCAAAATATCTTAACATATTGCAGCTTTAGATGTGGTGACTGTATTTTTTTTTTTTCTCCTGTTTACCTGGTGGTCTTGTCAATAACACTTTACCGGTCTTAGGGTGACAAAACTCACTTACAGTACTGTATCTAAGGCAGAGCAGTGCTGTTATCCTGGGCTGCTTCCTTGATTTGGACTACAGATACCTCTCTCTCTCTTCATTTCCATCACATGGGAAAAGATGTCCTGTCGTTCACAGAAGATAGCTGGGAAAGCTGATAACATGCTTGAAATTTCAGTTCAGTGCACAGAAAGTTTCAAGGACCCAATATTTCACTGATTAAAGGACATAGTGGATGAATTAGATTTGTGAGACTTTTTAGCACTAGTCAGTAAACATATATTTTCATATATTTTTATTTTGGCACATTATTTACACACACACACACACACACACACACACACACACACACACATATATAAAAATGTACTTATTATTTTTTTTTTTGGGGGGGGGGGGGGGACTGCAGCAGTCAGTACAAACACTGAACACTTAATTTTCAGTTAATTGCAGCAATCCTCAAACATCACTTTACGGTGAAATTGCATTGGCACAGAATTATTTTTTCCAAATTCTCGGTGATGGAAAATAAGAATATGTGGTGAGGAGATGACAATCTATTGCTCAATAGCCCTAGGATTTGGGCACAGATGTAGGGACTGCAGGATGCCTAAAGTACTGTATGTGTGAGCACCGCTAGGTGAATTAATTACCGTATTTTCCGGCGTATAAGACGACCCCCTACTTTTCCTGCTAAAATGTAGTGTTTGGGCTATACTTGCCGTATAAGACTACCCCTCTAGCAATGCACACCAGTGGGAGGAATACTGTCCCATCATTGGTATTAGTGGGAGGAATAGTGCTCCATCATTGGTATTAGTGGGAGGAATAGTGCCTCATCATTCGTATTAGTGGAAGGAATAGTGCCCCATCATTTGTATTAGTGGGAGGAATAGTGCCCCATCATTGGTATTAGTGGGAGGAATAGTGCCCCATCATTGGTATTATGGGAGAATAGTGCCCCATCATTGGTATTAGTGGGAGGAATAGTGCCCCATCATTGGTGTCAGAGCGATGAATCGTGCCCCATCATTGGTGTCAGTGGGAGGAATAGCACCCCATCATTGGTGTCAGTGAGAGGAATCGTGCCCCATCATTGGTATCAGTGGCAGGAATAGTGCCCCATCATTAGTATCAGTGGGGGGAATAGTGCCCCATCATTGGTGTCAGTGGGAGGAATAGTGTCCCATCATTAGTATCAGTGGGAGGAATAGTGCCCCATCTTTGGTGTCAGTGGGGGGAATCGTGCCCCATCATTGGTATCAGTGGCAGGAATAGTGCCCCATCATTAGTATCAGTGGGGGGAATAGTGCCCCACCATTGGTGTCAGTGGGAGGAATAGTGCCCCATCATTGGTGTCAGTGGGAGGAATAGTGTCCCATCATTGGTGTCAGTGGGGGGTGGAATAGTGCCCCATCATTAATGTCAGTGGGGGGGGGGGGGAATAGTGCCCATCATTGGTGTCAGTGGGAGGAATAGTGTCCCATCATTGTTGTCAGTGGGGGGGGAGGAATAGTGCCCCATCATTGGTGTCAGTGGGGGGGGGGAGGAATAGTGCCCCATCATTGGTGTCAGTGGGAGGAATAGTGCCCCATCGTTGGTGTCAGTGGGAGGAATAGTGCTCCAATGATGGAGCACTATTCCTTCCACGGACACCAATTACACTTGCTGACCTCTGTTCTAGTATGGTGCTGCTGCAGCCAGCATATGTGGTTGCAGCAGCACCTCTACACGGCACACTTACCGGCCGCTCCTTCACTCGATTTTCGTTGGGCCGCTCGGCTCCGCCCCCTCGTCGATGATTGGCCGCCTGTGTGCCTTTCCTGAGCTACAGTTCTGGCGGCCAATCACCGGTGAGGAGGCGGAGCTGAGCAGCCCGCGCGCGAACATCCAGTGGCCGAACTGAAGGAGCAGCAGCCGCGCTTCCTGGACCGCATCGTCGTGGGACCGGAGCCAGGTAAGAGACAGCAGCCCCTGCCCACCCCTGTACTTAGTGTCCCTTCCATTGGAAGGGGGGGGGGCGGCGGCGGCACCGCGCCGCCCCCCTAAAAAGTGTCAGTATGCCGTATACCAGCGTATAAGATGACCCCCGACTTTTGAGAAGATTTTCAAGGAGTAAAAAGTCGTCTTATACGCCGGAAAATACGGTACTTTTCCTTAGCTTAGGCTCCGTTCAGACCTATGCATTTTGCTTTTTGTCTGTTTTGCAGTGCTTTTTGCAGTTTGTTTTTGCGTTTTTCTAAACACATTTTTTACATGTTTTTGATGCTTTTTAAGTGTTTTGCATTTTGTTCAGACCTATTTTTTTTCTTAAATAAAATTATTTTTTTGGTTGGGCAGCATAAAAATTCAAAATGCGGCACTACCGTGCATTTCAGCAGATTCTCCATTGAACTCCAGTGTAGCAAAAACACTGCTTTTTGCTTTTAAAAAGTCCCTGACCCTTTCCAAAAGTGTAGCAGCTCAAAAAAAGCATAGATGTGAACATGTTCCATGCGAAACCATAGTAAATGGATTGTAGCGTGTTTCTGCAAAAGTACTAAAAAATGCATTGGTGTGAACGGAGCCTAATTGACATAGTTAATTTAAATGTGTTAAATTTAGCAAATGTTTAAACAGGAAATATCTT